GCAGGCTAGAAGTAGTCAATAGGGGAGGAAGGGTGACTTATGTAATACTTTCAATAATAAAGGTGTGTTTTTTTAAAATCAAGATCAGAAAAAAACATAAAAGAACGGAAATAAAAATATGACATTTACTTACATTTTTTACTACTGCTAAATAGATATTTTACAACTCTGGTTTAAATTTGTTTACAGCCCTTGGTCATTATTATCATTATTTCTGACACTTTTATTTCTATCTGAGAGAAATTTCAACACATTTCAGTATGTTTTCTTTTTTTAACAGTTAAATTTATTCTCAAACAATAAGATATTTAAAACCTTAATGTTATTTTATAATACTTTATTAAAATCATGGAGTATATTCACAAATGAGAATTTGCATAGGATAAGAATATACTTCATAGTAATTTAAAATAAATGTCCTTTTATCTCACAATCAATTATGTATCTCATCTTCTATCACATTGTTTTCATTTCAATAAAATATTTACACACATGAATGAAAGTAGAATAATTTAACTTGTCATGCGGATTTTGATACTTAGATATGCCTGAATTCATTTTCATTTTTTAAAATTTATCTTTATTGTTGAAAGTATTTCAGATGTCCCTTTTTTTTTCCCATTGACCTGCTCGATCCTGCACCTGCATCCACCAGGCACTCACTGCCTTATTGTCTGTATCCATGGATTATGTATGTATTCATATAAATTCTTTGATTAATCTCTTCTCACCCACTTACCCCACATTATCATTATCATTTCACTAGAGGCCTGGTGCATGAAATTCATGCACTGGTGGTGGGGGGTTCCTCATCCCCGCCTGCGCCCTCTTGCAGTCTGGAACCCCTCATTCCTTACCGCCCGCCTGCTCGCTGCTTCTTACTGTTCAGCTCACTGCTCCTTAGCACTGCCACAGAGGCAGGAGAGGCTCCCACCACCACCGCTGCTCTCACCAGCCTTGAGCCTGGTTTCTGGATGAGCAGTGCTCCCCCTGTGGAAGCTCACTGACAACCAGGAGCCAGCTTCTGCATTGAGCATCTGCCCCTGGTGGTCAGTGCACATCATAGTGACTGGTCGTTCTGGTCATTCCACTGTAATGGTTGCTTAGACTTTTATTATATAGACTAGTGGCCCGGTGCATGAAATTCTAACACAAGGGGGTGTCCCTCAGCCTGGCGTGCACCCTCCCCAATCTGGGACTCCTCGGAGGGATGTATGACTGCCGGGATCAGGCCTAAACTGGCCGTCAGACATCCCTCTCACAATCCTGGACCACTGGCTCCTAACCGCTCACCTGCCTGCCTGCCTGATCACCCCCAACTGCCCCCCTGCCAGCCTGCTCAACCCCAAATGCCCACAGGTACCCTCACAGGTAGCAGGTGTTGATTAGGGAAGGAGGGCATGATTGTTTCCTGGGACGGTAGTTATGGAAGCTTTGCAGAGGTTTCCGCAGGCTCAGAGGGGCAGGCTCTGGTCAGAAACCCTGTAGTAGTGGTCATCCCTGGAGGCACTGGTGGGGGGCAAGGAGTTAGCGGGGCACTAGGGGGGCAGCGAGGCTGAAGGGGGAGTAACTGTCAAACCTCTCCGCTTGGTGCCAATCTTTAAATTGTATGTGGCTGTTTTGCAACTGTATGTGCTCCCAGTGCCTCGGGGGCACTTACAGGTCATCGCTGGTGTGCTATTGTTGTGGGTGCCCCTGGAGGGGTTGGCAGAGCCAGGCAGGTTAGGAGGGTGGGTTTAGCCATGCCCCCAGTGAGGTTCAGTGAGCTTCCTCTGCAGAGACAGCACTGCTCCTAACCGCTGTCTGACACTGGGGGGATGGTCTGACACTGGGGGGCCACTCAGGCCTGCCCCCACCTAGGTCTGGAGTTGTAGGGAGGAGAGGCGAGCCTGACCCCAGTGGAGGGGGCCAGGCAGCTGTGGGCCACAGGCCCCAGGTGCCTTGGGAGTGCTGACGGTTGGTTGCTGGCATGCTATTGCTGTGGGCACTCCAGCGGGGGTGGTGGGGGAAGAGATCGGGAGTTGGAGGTGTGGGCTGCAGCTACCCTCTAGGCTGGCTCTTCTCCCCATCCTGTCAGCCTCCCTTCCCCCTGGGGTATGGGGGTTGGGGTAGGGTGTTCATGCAGGGGGGATTGGAAGAGCTCCCCATGGCTGTTTCCTCTTCCTTCTTCGCAGTCCGGGCTCCTGTCAGACAGTTTCCTCAGAACCCCGGGAATTTGGCTCCAGCCGCCCACCCCTTGCTGCTCGCACATCAATATGCAAATAGGTTGTTACAAGGACACCATCACGGACAAATTAGCATATTACCTCTTTATATGTGTAGATTCTGGGTGCAAGCATAGGTTAAAAATTAAAGAGTTTTGTTTCAATGGGTCTTTTTGTGGTAAATCCAAATTGTAGGAGGGAAAGCTATAATCTAAGGAAGAAGGCTCCACTATCTGTTAGGGGGTGAAGCATATATGGCCAAGTAAAGTAAGAAGAGATGAAAGCCTCACACTGGATTTTTACATGCTCTATAAGATATCATGATGATGACAAAATAGTATTGGCTCTGTAGTTAAAAGACCTGGGTTTGAAACTCAGTTCTGCCACTCAACTGTTTTTTGATCATAAACAATTAAATTCTCTTAGCCATAAATTTTTACTTGAATAATAAAGATACTATTCACAAGGCTATTATGAGATTCCATAAAATACACATAAAACACTTGGCACCCATGGCTGGTACATAATAGGAACTCAATATAACTTAACAGGTTTTCCTCAATAGATAGGGTACTAAAGTTACTCAATAATATATTAGCTTCAAGGCAATTATTAAATTCTTTTTTCTTTCATGTATGTACTCCCTCAAAAGTTGGACATAGATATGATTATTTGCAAGCTACTATTTCTAGGCTCTTTCAAGAAATAGATGATCAGTTATTGAACACCAAGATACATTCTTGGCACGTTATCCCCTCTATATTATTTATATGAACTTTCTTCTTGTATTAGACTTTGTTTATAAGTACTTAAAGAATAAAAAAGTCATTATTTAACCCCCATTGCCTGAGTCTCTTCCTAAATTCTCTATCGTAGCTAACGTCACCATTATCCAGCTTTCCACCCAGACTAGACATGAATCATCCTATATTTCATCTTCTCACCCTATATTTTAATCAATTACCAAGTGTGATGTAATTAATACTAATTAGTAAACCAACCTGAAACGTTTCTCCACTAAATTGAATTATCTTTAGTTCAGGTCTTCAGTATTTCTGCCTTTAACTATAGCAACTGATCCCCTTCCCATTATTGCCTTCATTGCAATTAACCCTCTATACCAGTGGTTCTCAACCTTCTGGCCCTTTAAATACAGTTCCTCATGTTGTGACCCAACCATAAAATTATTTTTGTTGCTACTTCATAACTGTAATGTTGCTACTGTTATGAATCGTAATGTAAATATCTGATATGCAGGATGGTCTTAGGCGACCCTTGTGAAAGGGTCGTTCGACCGCCAAAGGACTCGCAACCCACAGGTTGAGAACCACTACTCTATACTAATTGTTTTTAGAATATTTATTTACTCAGTTACTTTATCAGTGGTTCCTTTTACTTAGAGCAAATTTTTTATTTATTTAAATGAAATCCTATATGAATTAGAACATGTGAAATTTTAATTGAGGCAGAAATAGGGAACCTGGAAAAAAAAGTACTTCACCAATTTCATGTCAGCCAGTAAGGGAAGTCCTTGAAAGATATTTTAGAAACCAGTGGTCTATAGGAAAAATCTTAGAAGGCTAAACATAATAAATAAAAGGCTAACTTCACAAGTTGTCTTTTCCAACCCCTTCTATTCTAACCATATCACCTATGAGTCTCTAACCTCAAATCTTTGCTCCTATATCTTCAAATTAATTGTCATTTCCCCTAGCACACCAAGCTATTTCTCATCAATTTATATCTGTCTATATTCTCTCTGCTTAGAATGTTTCCCTCTTGATTCTCCATTTGTCTAAAACTCATTATATAAGACATAGAGCCAAAGTTCCTTTCCCTCTGAGTATTAGCCAATTTACCAAATTGATTTAGTTGCTCCCTTTTCTGTGATCTTATAGTACCTTGTATATACTTGCATTATAGTCCCTACCACACTTTAAAGAAATTATTAGTTTAAATGTCCTTCTCCCTAATTCTATTATGACAAAGAATGTTACTCATAATTGTGCATTATCTAGGACCTAATACCCAAAATACAGTAAGTGCTTTGTAAATATTTGTATCATTTTATTTATAAAGATCTCATTGTTATTAAATTCAGTTTCTACCACATAACTAAAATGATTTTAAAGTTTTAATTAAGTAAATATTAAGTTTAAGTGTTTTGTATACTTTTAGGTTATTATTTCAAAAATCAAAAAAGTTCAATGCTAATTTATGAGATATTTTTATGGGAGCACTGTTTATCAGTGTTCAATGAAAAACACTGAATTATGATTTAAGACAATGACAACTTGCACTTCTTTTCTAATCATAAGATTTCTATACCAGAAGTGCATCTTCTTTCTACTTTTTAACCTGGAGTAACATCTTGTACAAGATTCACAGATGCTCAGAACCCTTGAAAAACAAGCAAACAAAAAATTTTACTGAAACATATAAGCACGTGTGCTACATCAAATCCTAAAAGGATTTGAGACAATGCTAGTTTGGCCAGTGTACCTCCCCTAAACCCCTTTCCCAACACACATAATCATACATACATGCATACATACACAAAATAAAGTTTTAAAAGTGATTTTCTGCAAGAAAATAATGTTTTTTAAGTCATATCCATTTGATTTGAGTCACTAGAGTAACAAAACTGTTTACATGAATACTCAAAAAATTCAATAACATAACCTCTAGTAAATCTTGAAAAGCTCTGAAGGACAAAGCGGTTAGATCAATATTAGTTTATTTCAAATGCTGAGCAGCATAAAGAGACAAGGCAGATCATGGGATGGATTTTAGTACCTGTGGGAGTGATAAGTCCTGGTGATAAGAGGCCTGGAACTGAATGTGGCAGAAGGCGCGCATTGTCCTGCAACACTCCCAAGGAACGTTTAGGAGGCCTACCAGGCCTTGAACTGTTGAAAAACAGACAAACAAAGATCAGGTTTAAAATGTACACTTTTTGCAAATACAATTGCTTACTACCTTTGCCTACTAAATCTTAATTGGCAAGATTCATAGAATTTTATATTAAAGACTATGTTCATTGATTACTAAAAGACCAGTATTTTCCTTCTCACTAAATTTCCCAACATATGGCAAACAATATAACTATAAAAGATTAATTTCTATTTTAGAATCCATTTATAAGCTAGCACTTTGCAATACAGTTTACCTGTTATGAGAAACCCACTTACCCTCTGCTGTTAAAGCTACACTTGATCCCTGGTATTAATACGTGCTACTCAGATCTGAGATAGTAACTCACAGAGTTAAAATTGTATGGACTGTGAAGTGATTAAGTCCCTGTCCAGCATGCCAGAGGTAAGGCGTAAAGAGTTGAGAGATATAGAGTAAGAATTGATGTTTATTAGCATTTCCACAGCTGCCAGAGCACACAAGGAACAAAAGACCCCCACTCTCTGTAGGATTTTTTTCCAACTTTTTAAAACCAGACTGTATAACTAGCAGTACACTCTCTTGGAGTGGCTGTACTAGAAAAAGCTACCACCTTTGCAATCTAGGCTGTCTTCTTTCACAAGTTGATTGGTGACTTTAACTGATGAGTTGAGGCTAAACTTATAACATTAACCTAACCTAGTCCACTTGCACATTCTTCACCCTAGTGTGAACAGTTCAGGAATTGCAGTAGCAAATGTTGATCCATAAAATAATGAAATAGAAAATCAGTACCTGGCCTTCATCTTGTACCCTAATACAGTCAGTATACTGAATACATCATTTGGAAGCTGTCACCACAATGAAGAGATACATAAGTCTCTTTATAGCATCAAGTCATTCTCAAGTCACCCAATATATTTCAAATATTACTTTTGAATGTTGCCTAATATATTGCTGTTGCTTTTTAGTAGAAATGCAGTTTGCAAAATTGAATAAGAGGTCTTTTGATAAAATACTGCAAAAAAAATACTACATTAAATAACCCAAGTCACAAAAATGTATGAGGTTCAGATAGAGAACACTTCCAAAAATGACTTTTGGTTCATAAAGAAATTTAAGTTGAATCTTACTCTATCAATTTTGCAGTAGCAAAGCACTCCATCAATGTGAGAGAAACTCTGATGTTAAATGAAGACAACTTCTAGCAACCTTACACAGAGGTACCATTACCCAGTTCATTTTTCATATACTGCTGGTGTTATTTTCTTTCATTGTACATCAATACTGTATATCAGTCTAGCACAAAAGAGTCTGTTTTTCTCATTTAATGTTTCAATTTTATAAACTGACTCTCCTCTCCCTCTTTCTACTTGATTCTGGGCCATAATTTATTTTATTTCAGTGTTGTTATATTGTTTGCCCTTGCTCTGTTTTATGGCTCCTTAACTATTTTAAAGGCTAGTCATGAGAGAAATATGCTATTTACTTCAAGTGCCCTAAAGTTACAAAATCACTGAAAAAATATTAATCAGGGAACATCCAGTCATTCGAAGAAGGCATGTTAGCTTTTTAAAGAATCTTCACCAAATCTGTACTTTTTAAGTGCTTCTTTGGGCCTTTCTACTTGTCAGATGGAGCCTACTAACTTTATTCAAGTCCACCTGATTTCTTTTTGTAATTTTCCATTGTAAACATTTCAGTGCTGTCTTCATGGTCATGATCACTTTCAGATGGGCTATATCCAGAAGTAAGCAACCTTGTTCTCCCTCTACTTCCATATTATGAGCCAGCCATTGACAGTACACTTTGAAAGCTATATGGTTTAAATCATTCTCATCCAAATTTCTTGGTCCATCTCACTGTTTGACATAGCTCTTTTCCATTAAGCTGACAGGCTTAGGAGGCATTGGAGGCCTCTTAGTCTGGTGGTTCTATCTTACATATCAATATTTGAAAGAATTGGTCAAACTTCCCACCATCAGATCTATATTGGAAAATCCATGGCTTAGATCACAAAAGCTTCATTGTATTTACTGCATATGCCGTAAACCTTATTCTCCATCCTAACATTCTTTTTAGTGTATAACTTTTTTATGTTGGTATGATTGTGAGCCTTCCCAACTAGAATGTAAGTCCCATGAAGGCAGCACATATTTCTGGTTTTGTCACTGAATCCTAAGCAATTTTCATAGTGTCTCGCACACAGTAGGATTCAGTAAATGCTTAATTAAATCAGTTCATTAATAATGACAGGAAATATTATCTCATTTTTGCTACAACTTCCAAATATTCCTTAAATTATTCTACTCTCCATGACCACATGAATCTCAAGCTAGTTGCATTATATAGTCCATCAAATAACTGTTTTTAAGTCTTGGATTCTACAGCCATTATAGAACCTTCAGAATATGATTCATTCAAATCTGACTATATACAAGGTTAAAGGGTAGATGCCACTATCTCATATGTGAGAGGTTCTACAAACTTCAACACCTGCTTAAGGACTAAAAATCTCTGGAGTTATACATATACAGTGACAATATTACTAATTCAATCATCCAGTAAAGGAATATGTACTAGGTGCCCATTCAGTAGGAATCTGGTGTTAGAACTAGGTATGAGAGTCACAAAGGTTAAAATGTAAGCTTGACAAGGTTAAGGGTTTTGGTCTGTTGTTTGATATATTGTAAGGACGTAGAACAGCTTCTGCCTTTGAGGAGCTTATGGTCTAGTGATAAAGATTTGTGTTTGACCTGTTCTTTAAAATTTATGATTAACTCTTTAGTGAGTATGATTATGTGATATCCACTTCCAAACTTGTTTAGATTTATCGGTGAGCAAAATTCACATTTGGATGCCTTCATTTTTACAAGAAGACTTGGGTCCCTAGAATAAGTTAATTATAATCAAGTTTGTGAAAGAGTTCCATTCTAATGTAAGATGGTTTCATTTTTACTTTTAGATCATTTTAATGATCTTCTGTAGTAAGATAGTCCTAGCACTAAATTTCTTGCATTTCCTTTCAAAGAATGCAAGTCTGACAGCATGATGAAAGACTATAGAGCTCCATAGAATGTTGGTAAAAATCTTCTTGATAGATAATCCTGCCATACTTCTGATCTTTAAGAGCTCTATTAACATTAGGCATATATTTACATATTAATCAAGACAAATAAACATGTGGTGATTTAACCAGAAAACTGCTTTTTAGATGACAATTTAATTAGCATGGGTTGAAAGCTCCATCATTGCAGCATCCTGTTTCTGCTAAAATATTGATTGCATTACTGATTTCAGTAATTACTCTTTAATTAAATGGTAATTGCTTGTTGGCAATTATTTGTTTTCAGTTTAATTACAAGGTTATTTGTACTCTGTAAAATAAAATAGGCCTCTTTTTAAAATTTGCCAACCAAATGGCTCAGTGGATGTATCACCCATAACACCACAAACAAACGTTGCTAAAGTACAAGAAAAACAACCCCATGATATAGCAAAGTTTTAATTAAATGATTCAGCTAAATCTTTGAGACATTCAGCTTTATAGAATCAATATTGTGGGTAACATAAAGAATCATTATTTTCTCTGAGTCCAGGTTATCTTTTAACCAAATTTACCTTGGTATATATTTTACCCTTCTTTCTGCAAACTTCTTTTTTTCTGAAATTTTAATTTCTTTTTTTAATATATTTTATTGATTTTTTTTTACAGAGAGGAAAGGAGAGAGAGAGTTAGAAACATCGATGAGAGAGAAACATAGATCAGCTGCCTCCTGCACATCTCCTACTGGGGATGTGCCCGCAACCAAGGTACATGCCCCAGACCGGAATCGAACCTGGGACCTTACAGTCCGCAAGCCGACACTCTATCCACTGAACCAAACCAGCCAGGGCTCATTCTTTTTTCTTAATTGCTTTAAAGCATGCAAATACAGGTGTTTCCCACCACAAGCCTCTTAACAGCGTTGCATGAATTCCGAAAAGCTTCAGAAAACCTGTAGTCTGAAACCTTACCACACTTGGGGTGCAAGAAAAGGAAAGGATCACTATCCTTCAGTCCCAGGAAACTGGGGCAGGAGTTTGGGGACCGGAGGACCAAGTGCTAGCCGCTCTGAAGTTCTCTAGACCTTCCACACAGCCTTTTCCTAGGAACTAAGTGAAAGGCTGGCGCTGCTGGGCAAAGTACATGCCCTTGACCGGAATCGAACCTGGGACCTTTCAGTCTGCAGACCGAAGCTCTATCCACTGAGCCAAACCGGTTTCGGCTGCAAACTTCTTTAGAAGAAATGAAACAAGAGCTGAGCTTCCTGAGATTAAAGAATAATCCAACTTGAAATATAGTATATCCACAGCATTTCATATTTCCACAGTTGAAGTGAATTATAAAGTGCTACCTTGACATTTATACACTTTGTAGTTTTGGCAGTTCCCTAAGAGGGAAATTCAGTAGGTCTTCTGTTGTCAACAGGATATGATACATTCTATAATATATTTATTTGAAATTGTAATAGCTGATATTTTGCTCATTAAGATTATGACATTTCACTATTGAAATTTTATTTCATGTTATCAGTCATTTATATATGAATCAAGGAGTAACTTAGGTGAGTGATTTTGTTGTTTCAAAGAAAAATATTTTGTTAGTAAATTCATTAATGATATCATGAACCTTCAAGATAGGTAATATAAACCATATGGTCACACATGATTTAGTGAGGAATCACAAGTCATGTCATCCTCTTTAATGAAAGGTTGGCTTAAAATTCTTTAAAGAAACACTTGTAACATTCTAAGACAAACTAAACAAATTGCTGAAGATAGAGTGGCAGTTAAAGGGGGTATTAACAATAACTTGTAAAAACCACTGCAGTTGGATTCCTGAAGTGGGCTGTTAATAATGACCTGGGGTTTACTTTTCAGAGCTATCACTGATATTTAAAATCCCTTGGAATGGTCCCTGAATGTGTCATTTTTTGGATTACATTAGAAGCCATGAAAACAACAAATAACACT